ACGTACTATTTGAAGGACCTGTAAGAAACTACTTTATCTTGTTGGTTCTCAGTTTCCTTATTTCTCAAATAGAAAAATTATCTCCCTTACATGATGGTTGTGAGAAGTTAGGGACATAGTATAAGCATAAGGGCCTAGCACAATCCCTGCCTCATGTCTGGCATCAGTAACTTAATTAGAAGAGTATTAAGAGATTTACTATGTTCTGCTCACTGGACTTGACATTGAAGATAAAATAATGAGTGAGGACAGTCATAGTGACTTTAATCAAATAATCACACAGACAAATGTTAAACTGCAGCTGCTTTGCAAGTACCACACAAGAGAAGGAATTCATACTTGAGTTTATAATAAGAGAGGAGCTGACTGAATCAGAGGTTAGAGAAAGCCTGCCTAAGGAAGAGAATATAGAGAATATTGAGTTGAAATCTAATGGGAGGATGAGAAGATATTTACTAGGCAAAGAGAAAAGGGTTGACCAAAGCAGTGTAAGTGGAGGCAAAAGGAAGGAGATCTGCAGAGACTCTGAAATGGGAAGGCATTATGAGGAACAGAAAGAAGGCCCTTGTCTGAGCAGGGGAACACAACATGAATTGACTTTGGAGAGGCAGCAAGGGGCCAGACCCGGGAAGCTGTGAAGCCTTTGCTAAAGTAATTATTTCTTTATGCCAAGAGCAATGACAAGGTACCAAAGAGTTTTCAGCAGGGGAAGTTACATCATCAAAAACTGATTCGTACTCCATTTCTATCTCCCACAACGATGGGAGTGGATGGCAAGCCTCTGGTCTGGCCTGGTCAGACAATAACAGTTTCAGTTTGGGGGTGCCTTTTTTAAAAGAAAGGTAGTGAAAACGACACGTGTGTCTAACACAGGGCGGTCACCAAATGGTGAGGGAACAAGAAGTGTTTCACATTCATGAGACAAGACTTACAAGACTTTACTGAATTAAACCTCTCTCTTAACAAAAACATTAAACTAAAAAACATAAACTGTTTCCAACCATTGATCAAAAAACAGAATGATGGACAAAGTAGCATTGAAAGAATGCAAGTGAAGACAAGATTATCATGGACATTCTTCCAAATGTACCAAATGTTGAACTCCCTGAACCCTATAATGGGAGTCTACTATTTCTGTAAGAAAACATTCCCGCATGCCTCCTAGCCACTTGGGGCACAGCCCTGCTGCTTGTTCACTTGTAAGTAGCTCCTGGTTTCCTTCTGCTGAGGCACTGGATACTAGCCTGTGTCTCCCCCAAAGGCCTGCCTGAAAGGGAAATCTCAGTTTTTCTGACCCACTTTTGACCTCCCCATCAGCTTGCTGGAGAATCTGTGAATTGCATACTAGCTCTTTGTAATCTCTTTGATACCTGCTTTTTTATTCTCTTGACTTGATGTCAAATAACATGATTATACAGCAAAACTGTACTGCACCAATATGAAGGAAACAAAAGATAAAGTTATGAAAGTCAGTGATGATTTAAATGTAGCTAGAGCCATTGAGTTGTGCAGGTAGGAGGAAGAGACAATTGAGAGGGGAAAGAAGGGAAGGAGGGAGGAAGGGGGAGAGAGAGGGTGAGAGTACACAATAGAAGATGAATACATTGAGTTCTGAGATGACTTAGTTGAATAAAAAGAGATTGACCTGAATGAGAGGTTCACCCCCTGGTTTCTTTAAACCTGGCCTAATTTATTAGTCTTTGTTCCTATTAGTTTCATAAAATTAGTATAGTTAGATTGATGTTTGCCAAGTTGTTTTTTGTTTTTGTTTTTGTTTTTTTTCCGTGAAAGACGGAGAGAGAGTGCCAGAGACACAGGCAGAGAGACAAGCAGGCTCCATGCAGGGAGCCCAATGTGGGACTCGATCCCAGGACTCCAGGATCATGCCCTGGGCCAAAAGCAGATGCTCAACCGCTGAGCCATCCAGGTGTCCCTGTTTGCCAAGTTTTTGTAATTCTACCAACTTCATGATTTTCGTCTTATACACTTTCCCTTAGTACTTATTATTATTTATTTAATATTATACATTACCCAGCAATTGCACTTCTGGGGATTTACCCCAAAGATACAGGTGCAGTGAAATGCTGGGACACCTGCACCCCGATGTTTATAGCAGCAATGTCCACAATAGCCAAACTGTGGAAGGAGCCTCGGTGTCCATCGAAAGATGAATGGATAAAGAAGATGTGGTCTGTGTATACAATGGAATATTACTCAGCCATTAGAAACGACAAATACCCACCATTTGCTTCGATGTGGATGGAACTGGAGGGTACTATGCTGAGTGAAGTAAGTCAATCGGAGAAGGACAAACAGTATATGGTCTCATTCATTTGGGGAATATAAAAAAGAGTGAAAGGGAATAAAGGGGAAAGGAGAAAAAATGAGTGGGAAATATCAGAAAGAGAGACAGAACATGAGAGACTCCTAACTCTGGGAAACGAACAAGGGGTGGTGGAAAGGGAGGTGGGCAGGGGGTGGGGGTGACTGGGTGACAGGCACTGAGGGGGGCACTTGATGGGATGAGCCCTGGGTGTTATGCTATATGTTGGCAAATTGAACTCCAATAAAACAAAACAAAATATTATACATTAAACGGTCTTTAAATTGACCTTTTAATTTTTTTCTAAGAAATACTTGGAATCATCTGTTTGATGTGATATATGTATGCATATTATATATGTATACATTTAAATATATATATTTAATTTATGCTCATTTGATAAAACAAAAAAAATGATCTGTGTACCACCTAAAATCATCCTGGGAACCTTTACAGCTATGCATATCATACTGCTATACCCATGCTTGGAGGCAAGCTCCTAGAGCCTGCAGCAGAATCAGAAACAACCCCTCTCATACTCATTTCCCTTTCTATCAGAGTATAGTAATACATTTTAGAAGTGTAAATCCCTTATGCATAATATATATATGTAATTGTTTGGAAGACTTTGGCATAGCAAAATTATCCCTAAGGGCTGGTTTAAATTGGGATTACCAGGGACGAGTTATTAATTAAATGATTTACCAATACTGTCATACTTTTGTTTTCAGGCTTCTTTCCACTATTGCTTAAAATAGTTTGCAGTACCATTCTGATTGAAAGTAAAAACAATCATTTAATACTGCAAACTTTTCTTGTGATCCTTTTTCTCATTCATAATTTATTATGTTCATAACTATAGACAGGGAAGTAGTCTTCCAATTGGGAGTTCCAGTCACATGGAGCAAAACACTTGCTGAAGGACGCACAGTGTCCTATCAAGTCCACATTTCCAAGTCCCAAACATGGTTACTATTAAGTGAATGTGGTAGACAGAATAATGAACCGCCCCCCAAGATGTCAACATCCTATTTCTTGGACCTGTGAATATGTTATATTACATGGCAAAGGGGAATTATGACTGCAGATAGAGTTAATATTGTTAATCAGCTAACTTTAAAATAGGCAGTTTCCTGGATTATCTAAGTGGATGTAATATAACCACAAGGACCTTAGAAGTAGAAGAGGGAGAGAGAGGAGGGAAAGTCAGAGTGGTTTAATGGGAGAACTCAACTCACCTTTACCAACTTTGAAGATGAAGGAGGCCATGAGCCAAAGAATGTGGATAGCTTCTAGAAGCTGAAAAAGGCAAGACAAGACAAGGAATTCTCCCTTAGAGCTTCTTTATAGAAGGAATGCAGCACTGCCAACACTTAGCCTAGTGAAATCCATCTTGGACTTCTGACCTCCAAACTGTAAGATAATACATTTGTGTTGTTTTAAGCCATTATGCTTGTGGTTATTTGTTATAACAGCCATAGAGAACTAACACAGGGAGCCTGAAATATTACCTAGTTTCTTGTTCTCTTACGGTTGTAAGTCTGACATATATATTTTTTAACAAAGGCACACTGCACTAATTAATGCAGATTTGGAATCCTACTCTCATTAAAAAAATAATTCCTAAATTTATACATTATTATTGTTTCAAAAATTATTGATGTTATATCTGGTTAACATTTTTTTAAAAAAGTTAATACAATTCTTTTTAATGGTCTCCAGTTATAAGAACATATATAGAAGGGTTTTGGAGAGACAATAAAATACTTGTTTTAAGTATTTTTTAAGATTATGTAGCCAGAGGGCTCTGGATTCAAATTAGACTGTACCATTTACTAGCTGTGGTTCGGGAAAATTGATCTAAGCCTGTGCTTCATCATCCGTAAAATGGGAATAAAAATGATAGGATCTGTACAATAGGTGTGAGGAAAAGATTTAACAAGATACTCTAGGAAATAGTCCTTTGCATGGCACCTGGTATGTAATTAAGAGCATCCCATAATGGTGTTAAGTGTCGTCACTGTTTTTGCATTATCTTCCCGATTTCTCTAACAAATAACACCTTTCGAACATTAGCTGCTGTCGACCTGCACGTTTAATAAACCATGCCTTCCGTTTCGACGGTAATTTCTGAAGAAGGAGCAGTAAACCATTCTGAAAATAGCATCTTCCTTAGCAAAACTTAACCCCGAGTCAACGTTTTTTTAATGATGAACATTCATTCATTCACTAAAATGTCTAAAAAAAAAAAAAAGGAACAAGAAGACAATGGCCTAACTATAGATCCCCTTGAGCGCCCCCCCCCCGCCCACCGGGGAGGGGCGGGGTGAGCTGTTTGGTAGGCGCCGAGTGAGCTCCTGCGGCCTCGGGGTCCGGGGAGCGCCCAGCCCAGCGGGCGCGCGCCTGTCCCCGGGCGGTGCCAGGTGAGCCCGGGCGGAGCTCCGAGGCCGAGCGGGGACTCGCCGCGCCCCGCACGCGGCTGCAGGAGCTTCACCCTGGCGCCCGCGCGAGGGGACGCGTTTGGCCCGATTTGTTCAACTTCGGGGGCTTTGGCCGCGCTCCGGCCGCCCTCCCGCCCCCCCCGCGCCCCGCCGCGTCTGGCTTCTCCGGGGCTCCGGAAGGGAAGGAGGCGTGTCCGAGCGGGCGGGAGGGGCCGGTATAAAAGTGCTGGCGGCGCGCCGGGCCGGGCTTCACTCGCCGCCTTGCGCCCGGACCCGGAGCGGGAGCGCCGCGGAGCACGGCCGCGGAGGGGGCGCTGCGCTCGGGCTGCCCGATGCGTGGACTACCTGCCGCCGCCGCTCGTGCAATATGCTGCAGCTCCGGAGCGTCTAAGCCGAGTCGCCACACCGCTGCCTGGGCTGGATCACAGCGCTGCCTTTCCTTATGAAGAAGACACAAGTGAGTGGGGCGCGCCGAGGGCTCGCCGGCTCCCCTGGAAGGGCGCGGCGCCCCGGGGCAGGCCGCCTCTCCCGGCCCGGGCGCGTGGGGCTGCGCCCGCCGGCCGACCCAGGGGGCGCTGGGGGGCCTGGGGGGGCCTCGGGGGAGGAGCGGGAGCGCGGAGACCCGGCCGCTGTCCCGTCGGGAGCGGCCGCCGCTAAGTTGGGAGCTGTCAGCCGGGAGCCGCGGTCCTGTAAAATGGAAGGATCTGCTCTTTGGCCGGGGAGCGCGGGTTATCACGTGGAGGCATCTGTCTGCGCGGGGGACGGTCTCCCGTGGGTCCCGGGAGATTACAGAGCCGCTCCGGGCGCCCGGGCTCGCGCCCTCCCGACCCCAGGGTAGTGTGCACCCGCAGCGGGCGCTCGGGGGCGCGGCGGGGCTCGGGGGCTGCGGAGCTCGGGGGCGCGGCGGGGCTCGGGGGCGCGGCGGGGCTCCGGGGCTCGGGGACTCGGGCTCGGGGCGGCGGGGAACCTGCCCGGCCAGCCGGGAAACTTGGCGCGACGGTCTCCGCCGGGCGTGCGGCTCCGCCGGGGTTTCCAGGGAGCCGTGGATGGGCGACCACCGCCACACTGCACCCACCTTCTTCTATCACAGAAGAGAGAAAAGTTTTCTGTTCTTTTGCGTTTTAAACAGGCACCTCCAATGACAGCGAGGTAATTCCCTGTGCATCTAAATTGTGCATAGTGCATAAACGCGGTGGGTAAAGCACCGCCCAGGGGGAATAGTAGACCCCCACCCCCACCCCTTGAAGCAAATATCTGGCTTCTGGTTTGGAAAGGGCTGCCACGGGACCCCCACCCACGGTGCCTCTCTCCGTCGCAGTCCTTTCCTCCCCCCACTTCACCCCTTAGGAATTTGTGTATCCTCGGTGAGTTGGGTGACGCTGCCCTTTCATCCCCCCAGAGGATCCATCCGAGAATGCAATTCCAAAGGGTGGAAGTGGGGGGGGGGGGGATTGAGAATTTGGCCGGATCGTCAGTTTTTAGAGTGGCATCCATGTGCTGAAAATGCTTTACTGAATGAATTGCTTTGTATCCTATTTTAAATTGATGTGTAGGCCTGGGAAATGTACACAGTCAGAAGGAAGTAGGAAGAACCCAGCCCAATGCACAGGTGTGGGAAGGGCCGGGGGAAGGGACGTTGCCTGGCAGAAAGGACGTTTGTGCCGTCCCCAGGGCAGCTGCCCAAGACTGAGGAGCGGAGCACAGGTTCGTCTGGTGAGCGGGTTAATTCAGAGGCAAAGCACTGAACACCACACCTGGAATCACCACACCGTGCTGTTGAAATACAAATGTTGAAAACTGTCACAGAAAGAAAAGTTTTAATGTCATTATTTGACTTGCACAAGCTTTCTGCTTTGTGGAATAATAAGGGAGGGGAAGTAATTCCTGGTTATTGTAGCATCTTCTCACGTGGATGGTAGTGATGAGAGCTGGTGGAGAAACCGCTACCTTCTAGTTAGGGCGGGGCGGGGGGCGGCGAAACCTTCCTATTTAAACAAGAACACGGGAGATAGATCAGGTTAATGTCCAACACTCCAAAGGGAGACGATGTACTATCGTGTCATTTTGAGAGTCAGTAGGATTGATGATCCTTGCACCCTTGCTTTGCAAAACAAACGTGAGCTCCGTAATCTCCTTTCTCACTTTGATTAAATGACTGTGTAAATCGGATTACATGGAATAATTCCATTGAAAACTAGAAAGAGGTCGATCTAGCCTGAAACGCTGTGGCGTTAGTGACTCAGTGCTGCTGACCAGGGACATTTGAGACTGCTAAGTATTTTAGAAATGTGACCTGCTCCAACCAAGTTAAAGTGCAAGCCCTTGGGGGATCTTGCTGATGTTAAAGGGTTTGCAAGCAAAGGAGGGCAGTGCCCTTGTTGAATGAAGGCATTCATAGCCTGGGATCCAATGACCTTCAAGGTTTCCTTTAAGGATACTTCTAGCAATTTCACATTCTTGCCACTGCAAAATAATACACTTGGAAATAGTAGGAAATCAATAAAATCTTGGAAATAGGGAAGGGGGATTAGATCCTCCTCCTCCTTCATGTTGTTAAATTACCTAATCCAAAAGTTAGAAAGAAATTTGCTGTGCAATTCTAGGTGGATGAGGAATAGCCTAGAGAAATTAGACATTAATAAGTAAGGTCATTTGTTCTGTATCTAGTGTTACCCTTGCCAGAGAGGAGCGTCTATTCATGTTCAACAGCTTAAATAATCACTTAGAAGGATGGCATCAAGGGAGCCTGGGTGGCTCTGTCGGTGAAGCATCTGCCTTTGGCTCAGGTCGTGATCCTGGGGTCCGAGGATCCAGCCTCCGGCTCGCTGCTCAGCGGGGAGTCTCCTTCTCCCTCTGTCCCTTACCCTGCTCATTCTCTTTCTCTTGTATAAATAAATAAAATATTTAAAAAATATATGACATGAATACCAGAGTTCCATCGTAAGGCAAAGGGTTCAGTAGGTTTCCATTACCCAAGATACAAAACAAAAAGATAAAAAACCCAAGATACAAAACGAGAATTTAATAGTAGTAATAATAATAATAAATTTTAGCTTGAATTATAAGCTCTCCAAGAATCTCAGGGACACCAAGTGTTCTGGCTTCTCACTCAAGCCAAGTAAGTGTGGAAATTCTATCAACAACCACTTGGGGTTTGATAAATGATTCCGTCATTTATTTAGTGTGTGTGATGGACTTAAGTATATGGGAAGTAATTACATGGGCAATAGTATTTGGGAGCAATTGTAACAGTAAATTGAATCAGGAGCCTACAGAAATGAATGTGCTTTGCATTTTTTCGGATTTCTGATTGTATTTTATTCATATTGTGTGGTTTTATAGTTTCAGAAGAGAACTGTGGCTCTAGCTTAGAAAGAACATCTATTTCAATGTGCAATTGTGTTTGTTTTTTTTTTTTTTCAATGTGATGCTCTGATATAGTGGTATATTAAATAACAATTGTGCAGCATGTTTGGCAAGACCAGTTAGAAAAGTGCTGTCAGTTTAATGGGCCTGGTGCCATGTTTATCGATGTTATACTTATATTTTGGTTTTGAGATGGTTTGTGAGAGTTTTCATGACTGCTGTCAGTTTTAGAAATACTAAGACTGGAAAAATTCATTTTGTAAACAGTATAGAAAGGCCATTTTAGGTACACACTAATTCTCAGAAAAGAAATAGAATGCTTGTTAGCTTATGTTATTCCAAAGAAAATATCCTCTTTTGTCTTTATGAAATTTGTCATCTGAATGATGACACAAATTTATAGAAAAAAATTAACATTTGTGAAAAGAGCGTTTTTAAATTTTGTCCTTAAAGTCACTCAATTTGGAATGCATGCTTTAAATAATTCTAATTTATATAGCTCTTAATTGATACATTTTGCCAAGACTTTAAAAGTCAAGTGCTAAGTCAATTACATTTAATATAAAACAAGGAAAGTAACCATATGGAAATCTGAGGGCCTGAGCCAAACCAATTAAAATTGCTAAATTTTATTTATGTCTAACTCCTCTGATTTGAAGATAGCAATTGTGAGTCACATTTTTTCTTTAATGTTGAGTGATTAAAATTCTTCCATCACCATAAATAACATTAAAAAAAAAATCACTGCCCAAATAGCTAGTCAGAATATTGCAGGGAAAGTTTCTTGCATGGTCCATTAAACCCCACTGCACGTGCCTTCTCCATCCATGTCTTGGGAGTACCTAAGCTATAATGGAAAGATTCTAGGCTCTTGATTTTGAAAACTTAATTCTGATTTCTCTTTTACCACTGTAAGACAAATGACCCTCAGGCAAATGGTTAAACTTCTTAGGATTTCCATTTTATAATCTGTATGATTATCAATTAGTTATAAAGATTCTTCTCTTTTGATGATTTAAAGGACTAAACAAAATTTTATATAGGCCTTTATCCCAGCACAGTGGTTTACTGTAGTTATAATCAGAATTTATTGTCCCCAAGAAGAGAATTGCCTTGCCGGCAACTTACAAGCCAGAGAAAAACTATTGCAAATGATCTTTAACCAGCAAAGCAGAGAGACCAAGTTTTTATAAATCTGAATCTATGGATTCAGTGTCTCCCATTATAGGTTGTTACCTGCTTATAGACTATAATTTTTTTTAGACTATAATTAATACACATCAAACTTGGATTATGTGAAAAAGGCTCTGTGTAGCATGAGAGATGTTAAATCCTTTAAAGCTATTCTTTAAAGGTAAAACTGAATAATATAAGAATTAAAGATAAAAAAAGAAACTGGAAATATTACTACCATGCCTGATTCACTTCCATATTTCCACACTCTTGCTTTCTAAGTTCCCCTGGTATGATTTGGAGAATTTATTGTAGACTAAAGATACTTGATTTTCTAAGGGGGGCCATGCATTCATTTCTGCAGGGTGTCTTTACCAGGCAACATGCCATGACTTTTTTTTTTTTCATTATGCAAGTTTGTGAGTTTTGAGGTTTTTTTTTTTTTTCTCTTCTTGATTACCTTAGTGTTCCCTTTTGTGAATTAGGGTGTAAATTTGGATATAAATTTGGATATAAATCTGAGGAATGATCTTTTATCTTTGTTTCCTAGTACATGAATCATGAGCAGCTGTAAGACTTTTTTTTTTTTTTTTTTTTTTTTTTTTTTTGGTGTTAGTCACCTGTGTAGTCAGAACAGTTTATGAAACCAATTTTGGAACACCGGATGCTTTTATAATCTATGCTGTTTTCAATTATTTTGTATAGACTTTGTCTCATAGAAACCATTGACTGTAGCCTTACTGATTTATAGATGCAGCAAGATGTTTTTGTCTTTTCACTTAAGTATGTGTATACTAAAAACTGCTTAAAGGGTTAGGAGTTTGATAAAATTGTCATTATTTCATCTCTACTTATTTCCTTCTGTCCAGAAAAAAGGGAGATGGGCAGAGATGGGTGATTTTCTTATAATTAGGCCTC